TTATTCGCCTTCTCAAAATCAAGCAGTTGTCATTGTTCTGACTATGAAGAAGTATCTCATCATATCTTCCAGATAAAGAAAAATGGCTCATTCTCTGGGTCTCAAAAACTGCAGAGATAATCACTAGATGCTAGGATCTATGGTAACAAAGTCACAGAAACCTCCAGTGTCCTCCCCATGGTGTTCAGGAACAGAAGCAGGAATAATATGGCTTTCTGCCTGACAATATCCTGTCATTGCATCCATAATTCTGGGAAATGAGAGTCTGGAAAATGATAGAGTTTGTTGAGTAGGTTGGGTTTTTTGTTCTTGTTGTTTGCCTTTCAGCTATATGCAAAAGCAAGCTTTGCCTTAGCATACACGCCACATTTTCCACCACAGGATTAATCAGAACAAAATACTTTGAGAGAGATAATTTGAGCCAGAGAGTAGAGGCAGAGCTGAGGAGGCAGAATAGCACTAAGGACCAGGTAATGAATGGTGATAGACCAGAGATGAAGAACTGATTAAAAGGTAGTGGCAGGAGGAAGAAAAAGAAACAAATAAGAAAGAAACTGAGGCTGAAGGAAATTAATGGGCTCTGGACGCTGGTTAGTTTTTGGAGACATGAAGGAGAGAGACAGACAGGACTTACGAATTATTTCTGGTTATTTTGTTGTGTAAATGCCACTCTCAAGAGGCCCGGAATTCAAGGGGAAGAATAACGTTATCAGATGTGGGAGAGCGATGACTTTGCTTTTAGACTTATTGACTTTGAGGTACCTGTGAGACATTTAGAAGGACACAATCAGAAAGCAGTTAGAGACTCATCCTGGACTTCAAGAGCGCTCCTTAAGTATCAACAGAAGAGAAGTAAGTTCCCTGCTTAGCCACAATCAAATGCCTCTGTCTGTTTTATTTTCCACTTGTGCCCAGAAAATTTTTTGAAAGGAGGTAGATAAGTGTGTGATGTAGGTGGCAATTCAAGCTTCGGGAGTAGATGGGCTTATTCTGGGGAAGCATAGAATTGGGAAGATAAAAGAGCTGAAATTAAAATGATTTTTGAGAAACCATGACATTCATGGCTGGATGAAGAAAAACCCAGGTAAGAATTGAAGACAGCTAGTGTAGATGGTATCTTTAAAGCAGTGGGACATTTCAGGGAAGAGAGGAAGCCATAGGAGAAACACAAGGTTGAAACTTTAGCAACAAGGTTTTTATGGGAACTTAGGGAAGAAACTAGAGTTGGTTATCCTAGATTGAGGGGATCAAGGAAAGTAAGGAAGTTCTTGTAGCTTTCTTCTGATGCTATGGCAAACACCATGATGCAAAACAACTTAGATAATGATAAGATTTGTTTCATCTTACATTTCAAGAGCACAGTCAGCCTTTGTGAGAAGTCAGAAACTAAAGGCAGGAATCAGGAGGTAGAAACCATGGAAGAATGCTGCTTTCTGGCTTGCTCAATGGTTTATGCACAGCTAGCTTTCTTATACAGTCTAGGTACACCTGTCTGGGGATGGTACTGCCTACTGTCCTGGTTCCTCTGATACCAATTAGAATTCAGACAGTGTCCCTCAGACAGGGCCACAGGTAAATCTTATCAGGCAGTTCTTCAACTGAGGTTTCTAATTCCCAGGTGATGCTGGTGTTAACAAATTGAAAACAAAAGTAACCAACTTAGAAGTAGAGCTAGATGGGGATGAACGTTTTAGGGTAAAGTTCTAGTTGCATGGAATATAGCAGTTTTGAGAGTCAGCATCTGTCTCAGCATAATCCAATAGTAGATTTCAAGATGGGTGTGGTGGTGCATACCTTTAATCCCAGCACTAGGAGGCAAGGGGCAGATATCTGGAACAACCAGAGACACATAATAGAGAAAGAAACCCTGTCTCTCAAAAAAGTAGATTTCAAATTGTTTTGGCTATTACTCATCAAAAAAGTGCATTTCACATGATAAACTAATATTTGTATTTGTATATTTACATAGCTGAAATACTTTATGGAATAGCATTTACCTTAAATACATGGATATTTCAGATAAACAGAATGATAAAAAGAAACTTTGTGTATTTCTTCCAGTTAGAATAATATTTCTTTTTATGGTTGAATAATATCCCATCGACAGAATGTATCTCATTCAACAGTGGATGAATGCTTAGATTGTTTTCATCTTTTGGCTATTATGAATAATGCTACTATGAACGTTTACATATGAATTTTGTGTGGACTTGTTTTCCTTTCTCTTATGTACATATCTAGGAGTGTTTTAATCAAATGGTTACTCTATTTTTAACCATTTGAAGAACTTTTAGACAGTTTCACAAATTGGCTGTATCATTTTACATTCCTATCAGCTGTATGAAGGTTCTACTTCTTGGTACTTTTAGGATCAAACCCAGGCTCTCTTGCATCCCAGGCAGACACTTTACCACCTAGCTATACCCCTAAGCTCCTTATCTGGCATTTTGTTTTAAACTGCTATAGTGAGTGTAAATTTGTATCTCATTACAAAAAATAATGTAATGTATTTGCATTTCCTGCATTTGATTTGAATTTCCCTGATGGCTAACCATGTTGAGTATCTTTTCGTGCATTAATTGACCATTTCTTTAGATAAATGCTATTCAGATACATTGATGAGTTTTAAATTGGGTTATATTTCTTTTTAAGGATTTTATTACATTATATTTATATATGTGGGTCCCAGAGATGTAACATAACCAATCAAGATTGATGGCAAGCACATTTATTTGCTGAGCTACCTAGCTGCCTTTTAAAAATTATTACTATTATATGAATGCATGTGCCATGGCATGTATATGGAGGGCAGAGAATAAGTTGGCCCCATATCCTATCTTTTCATAGAATCTGGGGATCAAACTCCCTGTTAGGTTTGCACATCAAGAACATTTTTCTCTGAGCCTCCTTGCTAACCCTTGGGTTGTATTTCTCTTTGTGAGTTATGAGAACTCTTTATTTATTCTAGATATAAGTCTACAGTCTGAGTCTATTTGCAAAACATTTCTCTCTTTTTTGGTAGGGGTTCCACACTTGTGATAGCATCCTTTGAAGCCAGTAGTTTTAATTGTATGCATTTAAATTTAACTAATTTCTCCTTGGTGGCTTGTGTTTTTACCATAATTAAGAAACCATATTCAAGGTCTCAAGGTTTACCCTTAGTCCTCCTATTTTGTTAGTCACTATCATCATCTCTAAACATTTCATAGTAATTCTTCAATACCATTAAGTATTTGGTTTGTGTTAAGATTTCTAGCTGTTTCATATGTCACAAATGCACATGCATCTGTATATGCCCAAATTCCACCTCAGGCCATTCAGTTATTTGTGAAGACATCAATTTATTTGTGAGACTGGATTATTGATCTTGTCGTTTTTCTCAGTGTACATTTTATCATCAGAATCCCTGTACTGCAGTAGCCCTGTGCCTTTGCTCCTCTATGTGTCTGGTAATTGATAATTGGATCTAAAAATTTGATTTGATTCAGACTTTTTGTTGTTCTTTTGTCAAGAATCATTCACAAGTGATTGCTCTATGATCTGAAATGTGTTAAGTATGGTCTCATTTGGAGTGTATTCTATCCCAGAGGGCCTGAGACTATTTTATTTTTGAACTGTACCCATTCAGAATTTCTAATAATTTAATTAAGATAATGACTGTCTGAGTCTCAGAGACTTCTAGAGAATAGCAAACAGTTCCCATTCCTCTTAAAGAGTCCATAGTTTGCTAGCAGTCTCAAAATTAGGTTTGCTACATCTCTATCTAATCCAGTTTCTTTTGTCTCTCCTCTCATCTACCCATTGACTCCTAAGGTCATAGGAATCTAAAAACATGAAAGGCTCTGGGAGATTATCTATATAAGGGAGCCCTTCTTTCTTGAGGGCCCAGGCAGTTGTAAAAATTATGTATATTTTTCAGCAGTTAGAATTTGGGGATTTCACTTTATTCTCAGAGCAGCTACTTCTCTTGCAACGGAATGGAGATGGAAGCCCAGAGAAGGTAAATGAGTTGCCTGAAAGTTACACAGTCAAAAAGCACTACGAGTAAATATGAATCTTTCTGGCCTCTAGTTTTTTTTTCCTCTTAATGTAGATTCGGGAATTGTACACACCGAACAGAGCAATGATCACAAGCAGAATGCAAGTTATTTTCTTGCATTTATATATGGTGAATATTTAACCCATAGTTGGCTTTCCTTCTTCATACTCAGGAGGCTGGGAGAGAGTATGTTAACTGTAGTGTGAGGAAAATATAATTAGGGAAGGACAGGACAACTAGAGCAGAGAAAGCCAAATAGATTTGGAGTGTGGGTAAACTGCTGTCCCATTAGTTGTGTCCACAGCACTGATTTGTGAGATTTTGTTGCTGATTGTGAGTGCCCTGTTATTTAGTTTAGGCAGTGGCCACGCATACATTTGCTTCCTATTGCCCTAAGCTCCAAAGGGGAGGCCAAGTTATGTGCCTTCCACCAACCTACCTACCTATCTGCGTTTCCTATTCATTCGCCCTTTTCTCCATCCTTTATCCTGACTTTTTCTCACCCCTTTCCTTCTTCACCATATCCCCTATTTCTTCTTCTTTCGTCCCATCTCATCTTTCCTTCTCTTTCTCCTTTCCGTAGACGCTTTCTCTGCTCTCCTCTTCCTTCTTTATCATGTCTCTCCCCTTTCATTTGATTCTGTTTGCTCCCCCCCCCCCTTTCTCAGTCTTTTCACTCGTCCTTCAGTCTCTTACTCTCCCTTCCCCCACAAGTTCCTCACCCCTACGTAAAAACTGACTGTTGGTGGCTCCCTAGGAAAGAGCAGACACTGTGAGCTTTGGGTCCTCCGATTGGCTGTCATTGCTAACACACCAGCTCAAGTCTCGCCTCCGGGCACTGAATGCGCAGCTGCAGCATCTGCTATTGGCTTGTTCTCCTGTCAGCGTCTCTGTCAGCGACTCACGCTGGCGCCCCCAGTCTCTGCGTGAATAAAAAGGCAACCTACCGGCTGAGGTGGGGGTGGGGAGAGGAGAGGGAGAGGGCCAGCTAGGAAAGGCTAGGAAGAGTGGCTGATAGCCTGGAATCCCTCTAAGAGAGCTAGCAGACGAGGCATCATAGGAAAAGCTAATGAACTAGATAGAGTAAGGGAGACTGAGACTGACCGGTAGCCAGCTAGACAGACGGACGCATGCCCGGACAGACAGAGGGCTCTGGAGAACCTATCGGTTCTTTTTGCCTTTCTTTTTGAAAAGCAGGATTTTGATTTTTTTTAGTGGCGCTCAAGAGAGAATGCTGGACTCTGCTACCTTCAGCTCAAGCTAAGATTTCTCAGCTAGGGAAGAAAGATCAGCCCAGTCCCGCAAGGGGGAGGGAAGCAAAAGCCCCTGCCTCCAACCCCCTTCCCTCCCCCGGGCCAAACTCGGGGACCAAACCCAGACCTTCCCTAACCATCTGACTTCCTCCTTTCCTTTTTAGCATGGTGGCTGTATGGACAGTCTGACAGAACAGAGATTGACATCTCCCAATCTGCCGGCCCCCCACCTGGAACACTACAGTGTTCTGCATTGCACCATGACCCTGGATGTGCAAACTGTAGTCGTTTTTGCCGTGATTGTAGTCCTCCTGCTTGTCAATGTCATACTCATGTTTTTCTTGGGAACGCGCTGAATGGAGTCCAGCCACCTGAGCTGTTGCGAACTCTCACTTTGATTTCATCCCGAGAGCCTCCGAGGGGGAAAAAAATCAAGAGAGACAGTCTGAGACAGGGAAAGAGAGGGAGAGAAAGAACAAGCTTTCTTACTCAGGGGGGAAAACGTTTTTGAGCTTCAACATGGCCTCGCTGTGATATGTATGACGTTGGTATATTATCTCTCCCTAAATCTTTTGTCATGTCTTGTCTTTTAAATATGCCTGTGAGTGTAGTTGTTTATTGCTTGAGTAAAACTGTTGATAAGAAATGTTTTCTATTTAAGTGTGCATGTTTGTGTGCATTCTCTATGTGGCGTTTGCAGAGCAATCTGTGTCCTGTTAAAGTGGCTTTGCTGTTTGTGATGTTCTGTTAACTCGTTCTCTTAAAAACTACCTTCAAACTCTGTTTTGAAATTTTAATCAAAATTTCTCTCTTGCTATCATAATACATGTGGGTTTGTTTGGGGCTGGGGTTGGAGGAAGGTGTTTGTGGAACAGCATGAGGAATTTTTGGCATTCTGTGAAAGTCTTGCACTGGTTGTTTAGAGAGGAAGAAAAACCTATGCAAGAAATGGACTTATGGAAAATAGTCTCTAAATGAGGAGCAAAAAATTGGGAAGCGACACACTGGGGTGCCTTGAGTTGGCACTTGGTAACTGTGTCCTTTGAATTTCAATTTTGCTGTTCAGGGTTTCCAATTTCTGATTTGGAAAGGTGCCATCATTAAAACATTTGTTAAAGCAGTAGGTGTCATTTTCTTTGTAATCATGGAGTAGAACAAAAAGTATTCCCTTAAATTTTAAATTAGCAAGAGAGGATTTTGACGAGATGTTATACCCCATGATTTGAGTTTGAGGATTTTTTTTCTGTCTCACTCAGAAAAAAAAATCCAGCATTTTATATAGTTTGTAAATTGGGTATGCCTCCTTTGGGGTAATATCATTTGCAGAGCTGTTCATGAACTACTTCAAATAGAAGTTGATAGTGCTGATGAGATTTATTTCCTTGTTGGTTGATTAAGAACAGAGGTCTCTGAAACATTCGTGTAACTGTAAGTATTATTTAATGTGCTAAATTAAGAGTTTGAACACAAAAAAGGACATGTAATGGGACGAGAGCTTGGGAAATATGAGCTAGACAGTGTTCCAGTTTGAGATATGTCTGTATTATATAGCCATGGTGGTATATGCTGTTGTTACTATTATTTTTTATAGTTCTGTTTTTGCTGAGATACCTCTTGGCAAAGGTAGTCAACAGTGGTTTTTGATACCAGTGTGTACACAATATTTGCTTTTTTGCTTGTTTTTTTTTTAATCTTCTTCTTTGCTGGTGCAGGCAGATATTCTTCATTCCGTTGCTTACCTGACTTGAAACGGTGCCATTTCTGGCTTCTACAGCAATGAATCATGCCACATACACGCCCACACACATGCTTCTAGCTATACTAATGTGGGCGGCTGCTCATGTGTGATGTGCAAATCAGCTAGCATTATGCTGTCAATTTTCAGGTCTTGTTCAGTCTCTTTGGAAATGGTTATTGAGGGGGCCTTGAAATTGTCCTGATAGATCAAGAGAACATTATTTAATGGCATCAAGTTGAGGTTTTGAACCTTAAGGTGGGCACTAGTTGACGCAGTGTGGGTGAGAAGCTGAGCAATGTTTTTCCTCCTTGTTTGGTACCGTGATAGAAGCATGATCTGAGAAGCTTGCTGGCAGTGATTTCATGTTTATCATCCTTTGGTCTCTTTATTAGGGCCCCAAGAACCTCGTTGAAATGAGAACTTACTATGATTTCTTATTTTTTACCTGTTTGCTTCAGAGAAATGTTAAAGTAAACTTGTTTTTGAGACAATGTTGGAGAGTGGGGAAAAGCTCAATCCCAGGTAGCCGCAGATATAAGTTTTCTCTATTCCCTGGTTGTTTGATAGTGGGCTTTTTTTCTCTCTTCTCGGCGAGTTTGGGATTTCCTATTACGTTAACACTTGGAAATCTTTGGGCCAGGTGACTTCCAAGTTCTTACATTCTGTAATTTTGGGCACCCATAAGGATTTGAAGTCAAAGGGAAATGAATTACTAACCAAAAGGACCAGGATATATATTCTTGTTTCTGGTATGTCCCAAATGCATTTTCCCCCCTAAGGGATGTTTTTGGTTTTGTTAGCTAAAATTTGACCTTTCATTTATTGGGAAAATGAGTTTTTATAGCTAGTTTTTGACCCAGGTTTATGACTAAGTAATGTCATAAAATGCCTGACAAACCCTTGACAGAAAGCTTTCTGGGGAGTGTATGTGGGTATGGGGATGCCAGTATATTTGTGGGTGTATGTGCATATTCATCTGTGTGTGGTGGTTTGGGGTTGTAAATACTCCTGAGTGTGGATGGAGAGTGCTTGGTGTAGGAATCTGTGAAGATAGCATCAAGTTCCACAGTTCTAGAAAGCCTTCCCTAGAACTGGTGAAGGCCACGGATGTTCATCTTCCTACTATCACACATAGTGTTTCAGGCTGGAATGGAGGGCTGCTTTGAATGGCCCTTACCATCAGTAATTTAAGCTATAAAGGCTCATACTTCACAAATTCAGGAGATGTGCTAGTGAGATGGCAAGCCACCTCAGAGCAGCCCGAAATGACTGTAGGGAGCGAACAACAGGGCGCTGGTGTGACTTTAATTGTGTGACTCCTAGAGTCTTCATATTTCTCCTTCAAATGTGTGAATGTATGCAGCAGGAGAAGGAAATGGAAAAAATGAGACACGTTTCTGCCCCTTTCTGCTTTTTTCATAACTTTCCCTTTCCCCTTTTCCTTTCTCATCTGTCACTCTAAGTGCTTGAGATGTAAGGAAGAGAATAGACTTTTGAGCTCTGATTTGTTTAAACTTTTTCTTATAAAGCCCTTTAGTTCCCTTCCTGACTTTCTTACCCTTTTGTGTAGAGGACACGCTTTTGCTCCTGGGAGGGTGCTAAATCCATCCTAAAGGATTTTAGCCCTCAGCTCCCCACCCAGGAGTTAAATAAAATGCCGTATACTGGTATCCTAGTAACCTATGAATCACCCTGCAACCGCTGAGCCCACTCTTTAAAGGCATAGGCACTGTGGTCTCTGTTCAACAGAAACTGGAAGCCAGCAAAATGGGAAGAGACGCTCTTTAGGGAAGATCAAGATAAAAACCAAAGTTTTTGTTGTCTGAAAATGCCTAGAAAATATATTCACAATACACATGGAGACTTGTTATTGGAAAATGGTTCGTGAGTTCCCCTCTCTTTAGTCACTACCCTCATTTTTAAGATTAACCGAACCATTTCACTGCCTACGACTAGTGTAACAAAATCTGTAGGTCTTGAAAAAAATTTTACCCCAATTTTTGGCTTTAGGCAGTGAAGTGATAGTTTGGTGGGAACAAACTGACCAGCATATTTCTTTCATTAATCAGGTCTCACCTGTCAGGATCTACAGTATCTGCTTCTGTAATATGCTGGAATTTTGGTTGTAGCTCAGGGAAGCTTGCCTGACCAGCTGTTGTGTGTGACAGCTGTGTGTGTGTGCACGTGCACGCGTTCTTTTCCTATGTTTCAGTAGTTTCTGATTGGGAAGTGGGGCAAGTTCGGAAAGTCATTTTGATTGTTTATCAGATAAATGGAGCTGGGGCCCTGGGTCACCTGTGTGTGTGTGTGTGTGTGTGTGTGTGTGTGTGTGTGTGTGTGTGTGTGTGTGTAAGGTTTACCATGGGGTTGAGGAATCCCAATAAACCTGTGGGTGGGATGCCCCCCCCGTGTGGTGAGGTCCGTTTCGAGTGATTGACTGTGTACAGAAGACACGGTGGTAGTTGCAGTGATGCTGTTAACTATGCCCTCTTTAGCCTGTCTGCTACCATTGCATCTGACCCCACAGTGTGCACTGTGAAAGCTGAGTCTTTGTTCCCAGAATACCTCTTTCAAAGTATCTAGGTACAGCTCTAGTAGCTTTTTGTAAGAAGTAAAATGAAGGAAGCAAACCTTAAGACTTTCTAGCCCTTACTTACAGCTTTGCAACTTCTCTAGGCTTTCCAAGAATCCTTTATTAAAGCTTAGTTCCTCCAGTATGTGCCCAGAGTGTCTCTTTCTGTCCCTATGGATCTAGCACTCTAGAATATTTAATTCATTATGCTTTGCTCTGGCACCAAAGTACAACGTGGAAAAACTAGAAAGGAGAAAGGCCTCCAGGAAAGAAGCTGTTAATGGCTATGTCAGTAACACTTTGTCAATGCATGGGCCTGTAAAGGTTGCAGAGTGATTTTACATCTTTTCTAATTTTACATCCTATTAGCCATTTGAAATGGAGAGGGATGCTTGCTGTTCCCAGGTTTACAGCTGCCAAGAGTAAAGGTGAGAACTGTCTATGGGTATGCCTTTCTATCATGAAGTAGGTGCATCAGACTTGATCTTTTCCAGTTAGTGTGAACCTGAAAGGGGTCAGGTGAAGAGGGAGGTGTGTATAAGTGATTTCTGAAGTCTCGTGACTTCTTTGAATTTGCATGCTTGCATTTTAAATACTTTTTAATACATTTCATTTATGTAGTACTTTTGAAAACAAAGGTAGTCCGTAAAATGTCTTGAACAATCATCAACCAGCTGTGTTTAGCTAGTCTTATGAAAATAAAATGTCACCAGTTCGAATCTTCAAGGTAGAAACCAAAGTGAATTGCTGAAACCTAAGATACAAAATGTTTTGGAGCAACTAAGTTTTCATGCAATTGTCCTTTTGGAGGCACATACACTTTTACATATATATTTTAAAATGTGTTAGTCATGATTAGGTAGCTTGTCTAGTATTCACAAGACCCTGGATTTTCTCCTTAGTACTGCACCAAAAAGTAGAAACTAAGAAGAACAACAAAAAAAGTGTTACCCCAAACCGGCATGCTGCTCAACCTGGTACCCAACTAAGATAAAATATTCCCGGGCTCTGATCTGTCTGTGAAATGGATGATTGAATTTAAACCTCCTCAAGATAATTCAAATATGCAGCATACACTTTGTGCTTAGTATAGTCCTCTTTTGAAATTGGTCTCGTAAGTCAGTTTAGGTTTTTTTGTTTGTTTGTTTCAAAACGTGTCATATTTTCTTTTGATTGGCTTATTCTTGTAACTCTTTGTTAGTTTTAATTTTTCTCATCCTGTGCAAGAAATTCAGTTT